TAAAACAAACCATATAATACCTTAACTCATCTTGCTAAGCTTGTATTCATCTTCGTGACGATCGGTTAACTTTCTCAACCAATCCAAACCCAAATCGCAACACCTATAACCCATTGGTAGAAAAGAAACCCTCCACACAACATCATAAGGATCACACATCTGTAGATTACCCCGTAGGTGATAACCCACCTGCTTAGCCTCAAACTGATATCTCTCTATATCCATTCACATCCACAACTACTACGCAATCACTTAGTCTTCTGAGTCTGAACTCATCAACAAGACATGAGAATCCACTTTGTTTCACAATTGAAATAACATGAAATAATCCCTCAAAACCCTCATAACTCCCGACCGTATAACACATCCATAGAAATCGAGCACCCAATAGTCATTTTCATATCTCATGCAAACTCTTTTCGTCACATTCAAACCATCTTAACACATCCCACAATCACATCCTACTCATCATATAGCCATCCAACTACTCACTAAGCCATCACTCCCACTCATAAGGACACCACTGGACATAGAAGTCCATAAGCACATACTTACACAACTGAATCATTGTTCCTAAGCTGCGGTCAAAACCCGACCTCAAGTCCTTTAGACTGTCCCACCACTAAAACACCGAAAACATATCTCGTACTTCATCCATGGAACTACGAGTCGTCGATGCACAGTTGATACCGAGTTCTCACATATGCATAGGAGTGACATACGCTTCAAGTTGAATCAATGTCACATGATAAGGAGAGAAATATGGGAAGTTTATCCTAAATGCCATGTAGCCTCTCGAAGATAGGTATGAATTGCATCATACCGTCTGCAAGACTCTACTAGACATTTGTTCATGACTCGTAGAACCTATGAACCTAGATCTCTGATACCAACTTGTCACGACCCAAAATCCAACTAGTCGTGATGGCACCTAACCCAACCCACTAGATAAGCCAATTTAACAATAATCCAATTTCAAATGAGATTTACTAAGAAAATAATGATGAAATAATTGAACTTTTATACAACAACCTAAGGACTGGCAGTATAAATCATGAGCTTCTAAGATTTAGAGTTTACAAAGTAGGTATGAAATAAATACACCATCTGTTCGAAAAAATACATAAATAGATTTATAAATCTAAAGCTACCAAGAACAAGATGCAGCTATAACCGGAACGCATGTACATCTTCAATGCCAGCTCCCGGCATACACAACAACATCAGCTCCAAAATCTGCATGCACGGTACATAAGTATAGTATGAGTACAACCAACCCCATGTACTCAATAAGTATCCGAACTAACCTCGACGAGGTAAAAGAATCAAGAACTATAGATGATACTCAGTAATACTTGTGCAGTTCATAATTTCAACAAGTATAGAACAGATATATGATCAAATGAGAAAATCTCAAGTAAAACCACTTTGATGCTCACACCTTTGTTTTAAAGTGTTCTGCTCGGTCAACAATGCAACATATAAGGAAGATATGCAAGTAAATCAACTAAACAGTCAAGGAAATTACCAGTAAAGATGAAATATAATAACCAAATATCAGTCCATTGTGGCGCGCAACCCGATCCAATAATAGTAACCAGCTCTCTCAGAGCTCACATCAACCAGAAAACCGTCAGTTTCTCACAATTCGCGTGTATACCATTAAGAGAGAAACATGAGAGGGTGACCCTAGGGGAGTGAATCTTTATCCACACGCAAGCGCAGCCAATTCAACGTGCTACCAGCCCGGCGTGGTCACAGGCTCAATGTGATGGATCTGCCTAGCATGGTCGCAGGCTATATCATAATTTGCCCAACATGGTCACATACATAATAACACAATCCGCCCGGCATGGTTACATGCACAACAGCACAATTCGCTCGGCATGGTCACATGCATAACAACACAATCCGCCTGGCGTGGTCACAAGCATCCAGTGCAATCATATCATAGGAGCAAATAAACAAGAATACATATATGTGATGAATGAATAACAAATCACATGCTCCTGGACTGGTATAAATGTCATGCTAAAATGTTGGCGTGCGTAAAGTGTGCCGTCGCAACTCAAATTGGTAATTTCATCACAAAATAGCATTTATCAAGTTCATTACGGATTAAAACTCTATGAAGCCTCAAACAAGCTCAAATAGTTCACACAATGTTACAAATATGAGAAATATCATAGCTTAAAGCTTAATAGTCAATTCTAGACTTATCATAGCCTAAGCACAACCCGAGCATGGATGAATACCCCCAGTGTTAGCACATTGGCTCAAACCCCACACATGTGCGCACCCATAGCACGTGGTTATCACATAATTCAGGCAACTAGTGCCTCAACAAAGTTTAGATAAGATACTTACCTCAAATAAGCCAAAACAATACCGAACAAGCCAAACAATACTCTGCAAATGCCATCTCGCGCGTATCAACCTACGAGCGGCTCGAAACTAGCCAAAAGCAACTTAAATCATCAAATAATGCCTAAGGAAGCAATCCTAAATGATAAAGGTTGCATCTTTAATTAGATTCTCAAAGTCAACCAAAAAGTCAAACCCAGGCCTGCACTTCGGAACCCCACAAAATTCACAAAATTTGACAACTCATTCAATTACGAGTTCAACCATACTAATTTTACTCAAATCTGACTCTGAATCTATGTTCAAAACTCAAAAATTCACTTAATTAAATTTTAGACAAAAATTCCCAATTTCTCTTTATTATTTGCTATCCAACGCCAAAATCGAAGATAGATTCATAAAACATAATCAAAACCGAGTAAAAAATACTTACCCCAATCCATGTAGTAAAATTTCTCCTAAAATCGCCCTTAACCAAGCTTTAAGTCTCAAAATGTGCTAAAATGAATAAAACCTTGATATTTATGCTTTTGCACAGAACTTCTGCATCTGCAAAAATATTAGTTGCTTCTGCAGCGTCGCTTCTGCGACACATCCTCCGCTTCTGTGAAAATCATATAATGCCTGACCTCTCGCACCTGCGGACGAAGTTCCGCTTCTTTGGCAACGCAGGTGCGAGGCTTCCTTGCTTCTGCGGAAAACACAACCAAGAAACCTTTCCGCTCCTATGTAAATGATCCCGCTTATGCGCGCATGCAGGTTCGCACGCAGGTTCGCTTCACACTCTGCATCAGCGATGGTCTCCCTAGGCTATCCTTCTTCTCAGGCACGTCAATAACCTCGCTTCTGCGACCACCGCACCTGCATAAAATCAACCCTAGGTGCGCAACATCAGTACCAACATCTATCATCAACCACACACGAAGGGAAAATGGTCTGAAACTCACCCGAGCCCCTCGGGTTCCCTTACGAACACACTAACAAGTCCCAAAATATATAACGAACCTACTCAAGGCCTCAAATCACAAATAATAACATCAAACTCACGAATCGCGCCTCAAATAAAACTTTATGAACTTTTGAATTTCAACTTCCAGAACTCGTGCCAAACCATATGGAATGAACTCAAATTTGCACACAAGTCCCAAATGACATAACTAAGCTATTCCAATCCACGAAACCTCAATCCAAACCCGATATCATCAAAGTCAATTCCCGGTCAAACTTATGAACATTCCAAACCTTCAAATTGTCAACTTTTGCAAAAAGGTGTCGAGACCTTCTAGAAACATCCAAATGCAAATTTTAGCATACACCCGAGTCTAAGATCACCATCCGAACCTAACGAAATCATCAAAACTCTGGTCTGGGGTCAAATACATAAAAGTCACACTTGGTCAACTCTTCCAACTTAAAGCTTCTAAAATGAGAATCATTCTTCCAAATCAATTCCGAAAAACCTGAAAACCAAAACCGACGATTAACAAAAATCATAATACATCATATGAAGCTACTCAAGACTTGAAACAATTGAACGGAATACAAATACCCAAAACGATTGGTTGGGTTGTTATAGCTCTCCATTTTTCTTTATTCTACATTCTTTCAATTCTTCTTTTTTGGTGAGGGGATTGAGAGTTGAGAGTGGTTGCTATAAAATTGTCCATCTACCAGCTTAATTGTAATTAAATCTTGCCAACTTTTATTTATTTACATCACAAATCTTAAGAATCACAAATTCTGGAGTGGAACTTTTGGAGATCGGGATTTACTAGTTAACGTATAATTGTCTCTGTGTGACCTAAAGTGTATGGGTTCGAACCGTGAAAATAATTACTAATACTTGTACTATGATAGGTTGTTAATATTTTATTTCTTAGGGTGCAACCTTTACTCGAACTCTGCGTGAATACGAAATACTCGATCGGACTATCCTTTTTGAAAAAAAAAAACGAATTAGAGGTTTTGAGTTCACATATTTAAGAAGTAAAGTTAATTGAAAGAAATCGGGTTAATCTTTAATTAGGCTTTATCCAATAAGACTTTGAATTAATAACATCGACATGATTAAAGTGAAAAATAGTTATCCACCAATAATATACATGAAAATAATACTATTATACTATAAACTTACTTAGATGAAGTTTACTACTCCTACAATATATATTTTGTTTCTCTCTCTTATTTTTTAGTTTTTTATTTGGTGTTTATTATTGCATTAGTGTCCTAACTATTATGAATTCAGCCCGAATAAGGCTTATTAAGGGAGAAAGAGTTATAGAAATAGCGCGAATATTATGACGTTTCAACTGCGTACATATTAGCCTCTTCCGACTCCACTAATGGAATTTTACTAGATTGTTGTTGTTGTTGTTGATTATGACGTTTCAAATTTCACAAGTGAAATTCTATTATAGTTTTTATATTTCAATTATAAGGAGCGAAACATAGATATTTGTGAATTTTATCCGATAGCCATCAATGGGTGAAGAAGAATTCTATCTATATTACTATAATCTTTGATTATGGCTGATTTACTCGAACTTATAATTTATTATAAGTGACACAATGACAACTTTATTGTTACTCTAGCATCTCTAGAAATCAAAAAACTACACTAGTCTTTCTCTATTTCATTCTTTTGTTTTCCAAAAAATTCATTAGCCCGCAAAAAACATTACAAAATAGATTCCTCCATTCTCTCTCTCTAGAAATATTTGTTTCTTCTCTCTCTCTATGTCTCACTTTCTTTCACAACAAACCCAACAAATTCAAACAACTTTTTCTTTTGCCTCTCTGTGTAACTCTGCTTTTATAGAGACATGTACATATAACAGTGGTTACTGTTGGGGGAGGGGGGTATGAAATGAATAGAACGTGAAATGGGAGGCGGCTTTTCGTGTTTTAACAATCCGGCGGTGGTGAACCGGACTGAACCGGAGGTAATATTCACGGGCAGCGAACCGCTCGACGAAACTCTAGGCCATTCCTTCTGCTATGTTAGGTCATCTGCCCGGTTCGTTCTCTCTCCGACAAACTCGAACCGGTTCATTTCGCCTTCTCAGTCACTCCGGTTCGATAATGAACCGGCTCCGTTAAGGACCGAAACCGGATTCAGAGCGATTTCAGGTGCTTCTGTTAGTGCAAATACCTGTACTCCCCGATCTGTCCTCCAACTTGATAATATTTACGACGATGGTAATGGTAGTGTTGTGAATGGTTTTGAAAGTACGTCGTCCTTTAGTGCTTTACCTCTTCAACCGGTTCCTCGAACCGGTTTAAGCAACGAACCGGCTGGTCCAATGGAAAGAGAGAGGGCTTTCTTCATGTCCGGTCCGATCGAGCGAGGAGCTCTATCCGGTCCACTAGAGTCTGCCGTTCCATTCTCAGCTCCGTTGGGTGGTGATGGCATTTACGTAAAAATGAGAAAGTCGAAGGGCATTAATGGAATTGAAAAAGCCTTTAAACGGCCGTGGGTGGTGCCAGTGAGAAACTACTTCATAGGTAAAAAGGAAATTAACTGTACACGTGATTATAATGTGAATGTTGAATGGGCATTAGGAAAAGCGGGGGAGGATCGTGTGCATGTGGTTGTATGTGAAGAACATGGGTGGCTGTTTGTTGGGATTTATGATGGGTTTAATGGACCTGATGCACCTGAATTCTTGATGAGTAATCTGTACAAAGCAATGAACAAAGAATTAGAGGGTTTGTTTTGGGATAATGAAGATACTAGTAGTGGTAGTAATAACCAACAAAGCGAAAAAAATGCTAGTTTAAATAATGCAAATATAGAAAATGAAGTGATCATTGAGGACTCGAATGAAGCTAATTCAAATCGAGTGTATAAGGAGATGAGTAGGGGGGATGGAGGGGTAGAAGAAGCTGAAAATGAGGTTAATTTGGATCAGATGGATAAAACGTGTGAAAAGAAGGTGATATTTCAATCTGAAATTGCAAATATTGAAAATGAAGTGATTGGTGAGGACTCGAATGAGCTACATTGGAATGGAGGACCTAAGGCCACAAGTAGGGGGGCTAGGGGAGTAGAAGAAGGTGAAAATGAGGTTAATTTGGAACAGATGGATAAAGGGCCTGAAAAGAGAGTGACATTTCAATCGGGGGGAATAGAGGTTAGGAGGAGGAGATTGTGGGAATTTTTAGCAGAAGATGAGACAGAGGATGGTCTTGATCTTTCGGGTTCGGAGAGATTTGCATTTTCAGTAGATGATGCATTAAGTGTGAATAGTGCAGGTTCAGCGGTTAATAGGAAGTCGTTGCTGTTGTCGAAGCTGAAACATGGTTTGTCAATTAACAAGCACAAAGAGAGCAACAAGTTATTCCCATGGAGATTCGGATTGCAAGCTAAAAAGAAGGTTGAAGTAGGGGAGAATAGAGTGGAGGAAAGGATTGATAGAAGTGAAAGGAAGCGTAAGGTGGGTCCGGTTGATCATGAGTTGGTTTTGAGAGCAATGTCAAGAGCTCTCGAAGTCACTGAGCTCGCGTACTTGGATATGACAGATAAAGTTCTTGATCGGTACCCTGAGCTTGCATTAATGGGTTCTTGTTTGCTGGTTGCTTTGATGAGAGATGAAGATGTGTATGTAATGAATGTCGGAGATAGTCGTGCCGTTGTGGCTCAGTATGTGTCTGAGGAGGTTAGTTCTAGTTCTGAATCAATAGTTCCAGGCAATTGCGAGTTGGCCGTTGAAGGCATTGCTGAAGAATCTGTAGTTCCCAGTGATGAGGAATATAAGGCGACAAATGAGATACCTATTCAAGCTATGAAGCTGACTGCCTTGCAATTGTCAACTGATCACAGCACTAGCATTGAAGAAGTAACGTTCCTCGGTTTCTTTGTTACTCAATGGGTTGTATCTGGTGCTTCCTTATATGTTTGAAGTTTAATTGATTTATGAGTTACGACATTATGCTAAATATTGGAGTACATAAATATTTTACTCCGTAAGAATTGCAAAACTTCGGAATGATGAATTCATGTAAATTAAAAGCTGTTTCCTTTATCTGGTGCTCCAAGGTATGATGCTATTTTTCTCATCACTGGCTTTACTGATCTAAGATCATTGAATGTAGTATGTTATGAAATTTGTTGGGATATAATTTCTAAATAAAAGCCTCTGAAGCAAAGAGGCCTCAAAGTCAGTTTCTTGCTTTAATTACATTCATATATGTACCTGCCAAACTGGTTTTGAATCTTTTGGTCACAGTGTATTGAACCATTAAATTTTTGGGTTGGCACCATTTAGCTGGTATAGGCAGGTTCTTAGAAACAGTTCAGCATTTGCGATAGTTTGACCCTCTCAAATGGTTCCTTTTCCTATAATCTGTTATTCCTTTCAAGTCATAAGCTTGGTCCTCCTCATTTTAGTAGGTTCATTCTTTACTGCTGTTGCATAAATGACAATAATCTGAAGAAGCATGTATCACGCGGCATGAGATGCTCCCCCTTTAGCCCAAGTCTCTTTCTTTGCCTCTCTCTCTCTCAAGGATTTTAACGAATGTGAGTGTTCCAGATTTTCATGAACTTGTGCTTAATCTCTATGAGTGGATCAGGAATGCAGTCAGATCCTTTCCGATATTGTTTCCGATGTCGTCTTGGTGTTCATTCTTGATTAAAATACAGCACAAACTGTTCCAAACTTGTGGTTCACGAGTCTTAGGGATATCTTAGAAGGTATAATTTTGCCATTTAGTGTAATGGTGACAATGAGGAAACTTCATAATATTGGTTTCCCTTAGCTCCCTTTTTTGTCAATATATTTGCCTTGTCTGGTATTCGTTTATTCATCTAAATGAAATAATGGGATTGGAAGCTTCCTGTAAGCTTCTAATATAACTGCTCATATATATCTTCTTATACATTAGGTGCCTTCTATACTTGTATTAAACATTGTATCAGATGGAGCTACTTCAGGTGTTAGATATCTATTGATGAATCTTTCTTTTGTTTCTACTTCTTCCATCTTCATTTATTCTGCTCTTTTATTCCCGCATCTCTCTATTTTTTAAGCAAATTGTTGTTTGTAACTTTGTAGTTGCCTCAGACCCCACATGTGGGAACATACTGGATATGTTGTTGTTGTTTGTAGTTGGATACTGGTTGCAGTTTTCCTTCAGCTACAAAATTCATGTATTAATGTGATGCTCTCAACCTTTTTAATTTTTATATTATTTTGTCTTGGATTATTGGACAAAGATGAATATGATAAAACTGCTGAATGCTTCAAGTGAGTGGGTTCTCTTCTTTTTTTTCTTTGTTTTCATTTTCCCGTCCAACATTATTATTTGGCAGAAACGATGCCTATTGGGATGGATGGACAACTCCTACCATGATAAAATGATTTTACCTGCGCTTAAGCGTAGGACCTCTTGGCAATTGAAAAGTTGCCCTCGTCTGTTGTACCTAAGTCTTTTTCTGCCAGAGGAGTTATATATTAATGTCTTGTTGAGCAGTGAGTGTACAAATAGACGTTTACTAACTTTGATGAATATTCTTATTTTTCTCCATTAGCGACGATGCAATGCATCAGATTTTGTACTCCATGGAAAACAAAACTCAAACAGTATAATGAGGTAGATAAGTAAAAAAGAAAAAGTGACACAAATGCCTGACATATCTTCATTTTCTTGTAACATTTGTGAAAGGCTTCAGGCCTCGTGTGTTTGTTGGGCCTTATTTATCAAGACATTAGATGAGCACAAATGATATATGTTGGCTCCAATTTGAGGCCTGTACATTCAAGTTGATCTTTTCCTCTTCTATATAAATTGCCCCAATACTAATTGCAGTTCAATGATTTTGCTGGTTGTTGAATGAGCTAACAGCCGTAACAGCACCTATATTGCTGTCATGCATAATTCTGTTAACTCTTTACTCTGACATAACCATTTCTGCTGGCCAGATACGGTTAATGATTCCCGTGTTGTCTGTTTCGGTTTTACCAAGTTACAACTTCTCATTGTTGTTATTAAAGTGTGTTTGATCAATGAATGCAATTGGCGCTGAGTTTCTGTCTCATTTGTCATTGTGAAACCTGTAACTTTTAATTGTCTGTTGCTTGTAACATTCCCATGTTTGTATTTTAATCAGTTAGGTTCTTAAACAGTTTGTTTCTTGTAACAATCTCCAGGAAGTCATTAGAATCAAGAATGAACACCCAGACGACAGCAATTGCATTGTTAATGATAGAGTAAAAGGCCGTTTAAAGGTCACTCGCGCTTTTGGGGCGGGCTTCCTGAAAAGGGTTTGTCACTTGCTTTTCTTTCTCTTCCTGGTTTCCAATCCAAAAAATCTCTAGCAATTGCATCAAATTGCACATCTGCACATTCGGAGCCTCATTTTACTTTAGATATTGTGGCATCAGAGGAATATTTGACTATTTCCATTTCTGATTTGGCCGAAAATTTGTTGATCTCTGGGAGATGGAATGTCATGCACTCTTAGTCCTAGCATTCCATCTAGTAAAGAAATATATGTTTCTGCCTATAGTTACTCTGGATGGACATGTAAAGTTCGCCAAACATTCTACGTTGAATTGTTGTTGTAGACTTATATTCTGTTGTGACATGCTTGTTGCCAATCCGCTTAATATTTTGAGATCTGCCTGTGCAGCCTAAATTGAATGATGCATTACTAGAAATGTTTCGGAACGAGTACATTGGGGATGCTCCTTATTTATCTTGTAAACCTTCACTGCACCATCATAGACTCTGTCCTAAGGATCAGTTTTTGGTGCTATCCTCTGATGGCTTGTACCAATATTTGAGCAATCAAGAGGTGGTTTGTCATGTGGAGAATTTCATGGAGAAATTCCCTGATGGGGATCATGCTCAGCATCTTATTGAGGAGCTCTTATTCCGTGCAGCCAAGAAAGCTGGTATATTTTCTGTCTAGTCTTTCTATGCAGAGTTAGGGTAAAAAGTTACTGTTTTAGTGATTCTTTACGTTTTCTAGTGGCTGCACGCCCTTAATTTTTGCTAAGAAATTACATTTAGATTTTCAGATTTTTATTTTTATTTTTATTTTCAGACACTCAATCATCTTCTCTTGCTGTCCAATTTAGATCAATTCTATATTAGGTGGGAACACTAAATTGGACCCACTCCAATTTTGTGACACATTAACATACCTGAAGGTGTTGGTTTATGTTTAGTCAATAATGGCATGCCAATTGGAAGAGTTGGTGTGGATGCNTCTGGAAGATCCAAATGATGGCGTTACTGCGGAGGAAATGTTCAATCCATGCTATTGACGGAAAGTATCCTAAGGATATATCAGCTCCCGACAAGGAGAAGATTAAAGGGGATGCATTGAGTGCAATCCAACTATCCCTTGCACCTAACGTGCTTTGTGAAGTGAGTACGGGTACCGAAGAGACGGCCAAACAGTTATGGAAAAAGCTAGAAGGGCTATACCAAGACCGATTAGTGACAACAAGGATGTTGTTACAACGACGTCTTCACACATTTTAAATGGGGTCAGGTACTTCGTTACAAGATCATTTAGATGCGTTCAATAAACTTGTCATGGACTTACAGATTGCAGGAATTAAAAAGGAGGAGGAGACGCTTGCATGTGCTTTGCTATTTTCATTGATTTCAGGATATCGTGATATTGAGAATTCAATGATGTATAGCAAGGAGCCTATCAAGCTTGAGCAAGTGCAGTAGGCACTTAACTCTAGTGATGTGCGGAGCCATATTGAAGGAGATAGAGATGACCAGGCAAGTGGGCTCTTTGTGAGAGGCCGGACTAGCCAA